CATAAATGTTAATATTTTTGCTTCATACATTTATAATTCGCAGAGAAGAAAAACGACACGACATTTATTTTACAGCCGAAACTGAAAACAAGGAAAATTTCATTATCTTTCTCTGTATAATTTTATTTCAGTCATCAAATTGAGAAGGTTTAATTAAAACTAACAAGATATTATAAATTACGGGTGTATAATAGAACTATTTAGAAGAAGTAAAAATTTAAATGTTTTTGAGATATTATGTCATTGTAATGTAATTTATTTACATAAAAATTGCTAAAATGTATTCTATACAAAATCGTAGTTTGTACATATATAACTACGACAATACAGGATTTTTTTTATCGTACTTATGACATTTAAATATGAATTACAATTTAATAGTCAACTATAGAATAAAACTTTTCTTATATTTAACCACACTTTTACTTTTTATTTTTAATACTTCATTTAACATAACGTCGTGAAAGGTAAAATATTACATACCTTTTTATAACAAAAACACACCCATCTGTAATGAAGGCGGAAATTAAAATGTCAAGCCGGATAACCTCTCCAAACATGACGCATATCGTCTTGGATGAGGGTTTAAATTAAAAGGAAAATTAAAATTAAACATATAATAACTAATTAAAATATTCGTTTGGAAATTTAAACAAGATTGAACGATTTCAAACCTGAGTATTTCATATGTATTCTATAGTAGTAATATTTAAACACGATTGAATGATTTTAAACTGGAGTACTTCATATGTATTCTATAGTAGTAATATTTCGATTAACGTTGAAGGTTAGTTTCTAGAATAATATCACATTTGCAACGACCGCGACTTGCATATAAAGTACACTTTATTGGTATCACTGTCCATCTTGGAGGCTAACGACAAAAAGATAATACATAAGTCTAATTGTAGAATTGTATTTCTGTCTAGAACTTTTTTCCATATAAATATTAAGTATTCTTTGTATGATAAACGAATATTCAATTTGTTAAAGAGCAATAGCAAGCAATATTTCAAGCATTTTTCCGTCAATTATTGCTTTTTTGATATAAAAAAATATTATAAGTCAATGATATTTTATTTCTTAAATAATATTTCTTTAATTTTACTGTGTATTCATCATTTCATTACAAATAAATCTTTCCAAAGGACGCAGGTGTTACAACGAATAATAACTCATCGCATATATTCCTATACTCACTAGCTGTACAGTTTAAATAATATTATATATAGATCTTTACATGTAAGTAATTATCCCTTTTATACTGATATAGGAACTTTTACTAAATACTATACAACATACTATAGGTTGTCAGTGGTGGCCTAGTGGTTAAAAGCCCGCCTTTCATGCAAGAGGGCGCGGGTTCGATCCTGGCCCTGGCAAGTATCAATGTGATTTTTCCGAGTCATATGTATTTTCTAAGACATCATTGATTAATGCATTCCCAAAGAGGGTTGATTTCACCCAGGCGGCCGGTCGTAAAAACAATTAACCAAAACTGTTCACAACATGTAAGGCAGATGCCGGCGAAAGCTGGGAAATTGCCAGGTAGAGCAACTATAGGTTATAAAATCTTTTTAGGTAAACACGACTGAACATATTTTGGTTAAATTGATTGCATGAACCACTCCTATCAAGTGTGTATTTTGAGACCACTTTGGCTGCTATCAAATTGGAATAAATTAAGAACAATATACTGTTTAATAATGAAAACAAAATTTGTGTTTGTTGGCTCGGCACACTACGTTTTTACGATCTTAGAATGGTTCTGTGTTCCAAAATAAAGGAAGTATATTCCATTAATATAAAAAACATTGATTATTTATATTATATATTACAATTCTTCACAAGTCATGAAGTACATAATTGTAATTTGGAACAAAGGAACAAAGCTTATAAGGAAATGTTTTATACATTGCAAAGAGCTATGAAGAGCTGAGGTTTAAGAATATAGAAGACTAAGTAAATTTAAGGGTCTTACTCCTTCTCTATATTGGATTTGTTTATACTTTGTTGGTATTTAAATACACTAGTTCAATTCATCATCATCATCAGCCTATCAGAGCCCACTGCTGAGTAAAGGCCTGTTCTCACATGGAGAAGACGGGTTGGCTATTTCAAATTTATAATTGGACATTATAATAGGTCACGATGTTTTTCTTCACCGTCTGTCAGTGGTGTCTAAATACTCTAAATACTCTTCCAGGTTTCGAACCCGCGCCCCAACATGTAAGAGGCGGAACTTTAACCACTAGACCACCACGACTTGCTGGTTTAATTAAGCATTAACTATTAAAATAGTAAAGATTTTTTGTTTTTCTCTCAGATTCGGATGTTATATTTGAATAACATTAAAAGTTTTTTTATTCTATTCATTAAATAATTTACTATTTAGGTAGATAAATAACTAAAATTCGCGAGAATATGGGACAATCAATTACATATTATGATGTGTAGTCGCGAAAAACCCGGTATCATTCAAATTTATTATGAGAAATATTTTATAGATATTACTATGACGTTTGTTTAAGTGTTTTAATTAACTATATCTTAATCAATTATTATCAAATTCATAATGTGATACGATGACTAAGGTGTGAATTGTTAAAAATAGCATATGCGAAGGTCGTGGTTTTTAAAATTTTATAGTTTGAGTTATTATAAAATACATCTTTCTATTGAACAGTTGACGTATTCACACTTCAGATTATTTTTGGCATGATTTTTTTAAAATCTTCCATTCTTGTGTCTATTGGATATATGTATACAAGACTATTGGTTTATATTTTATGAATGTTATTTAAATAAAGGTGTAACATTTAAGATAAAAATATAATATATAAAAATTACTTATAATAACTGCATATGCAGAAAATTTTTGTAGAGTTTATTGTTTAAACAATTATTGAGTATTTTAATGAGTTTCAAACATCTGAAACTGTAGCTATTGAAATAAAAGTTTGAGAAATGAATAGATTTTATCAAGCATCTGTTACCGAATTTTGAAAATGAAGTATAATATGTAAAAACTATTCTTTTAAAGGTATTTTGATAAATAAAAGAATATCTCAGTAATTTAAGAAAGATTTTCTTTGGCTACATCGTTTGAAAAACTAACTCCAGATTCTTATTACATATAAGTGTATTTTTGTGTAATGATATCTACGACTTTCCCGATTTTACGACTCGTTTTTTATATTATTTCAAATTACATACTTTGACATTACAGTTACTTTACAGCAACCGTGATCGCGGGCAGATGAAATCACATATTTTTCATTTATAAAAACATTAGTGTTATTTAAATATTTATGTGCCGTATATTCTGTTTCTATATTATTATGAGGTATCGATTTATAGTTCCATAAAATTTTAATATATTTTCACTTTTAGTTACTTATTAACCTAAAAAAGTGTTAGTCATTTTTGCTTGATTCGTTTTTATAACCTTTTTATTTGGGACATCGATTTTATGGTTTCCTATAAATTTAATCAGGATATGACGTAAATGGATTATAAAAATGTAATGAATTGTATGTGATATGGGATGATGAAGTGATGATGATGATGATGATGATGAAATGATTATTACAATGATTTCGTTCCACACACTACGAGTATGTTAATTTTTTTCTATATACATATTTTCTCGATTTATCACATGAAGGACGTGTATAATAAATTATTATTCTATACAGTATGATGATAAATCAAAAATATTGAATATGTAATATTATTTTATTGTGTATTTTTATATGAAAATCGTGATTAATTCTCGTCATGAGATCACAGTATTCAATAAGCCGTTGTAAGTAAATTAAATCACATTGAAAATACGAGATTCGTCGTGTTTATTCACCGTATTCAATTATAGGCGTGAATATCACGAAAACCGCCAATCTGTTTGAAACGTGATGGAAATTTCTATAGCACCGTGATTATTTACACCCAGTTGAAAATAGCTCATAATAGATATTAGCTTAGTTAGGCTTGGTTTAAGCTGAGTTATGATCTTTTATTATACATTCAGTATTAAACTGTATAATCTTATTATATAATTCGATGTTATATTAAGTCGCTTTTTAGAAATAGTATTTATTTATTACACTGTTTTTTGATATTTAACATTACTAGATCATATTGTTACCGGGTTACGTATTAATACAGAGGTATTATGTATTAATCAAATAAGTTAGACCATCATCATCCAAAGCTTATCATAACTGGAAAAATCTTCGATCTATCTTGCTCATGAGGGTATTAACAGTGGCCTTTAGTCTAGCATGTTTCGTGTCCATCAATACTCTGAACGCATGGACATATGACCGGACTATTCCCATTTCAGAGTCTTAACTTTGTCCGCAAAATTGTTGAATTTATTGTCGGTGTTGGTGTTTGACTATTCAGAATTTGATTTGGCACAGAAATTACGCGCAGCAGAATGACATTCAATAACTACTAATAACATTAAAATAACAGATTTTATCATTGAGTGCAATTGCAAGTAAATAATTAAACTTACTTTTTCAATAAAAATTATTAACAAATGGAAATTCATTAAATATTTATATTTTTGTTACAATGGTTTACCATTTCATGTAACAATTTCGTAAACCATTAACGACCACTTTAACATTTTCCTTAACGAAAGTTCTGTTGAATTTCGACGAGAATTTATTTGACGCGTAAAAATTAGGATCTACGAAATAATAAATGTTTCAGATTTCCATAAACAGAATTTCTGGGTTTATTTATAAAGATGTTCCCATTTTGAGAATCATGTTATCTTTTTGAGAATTATTTTAAGATTAGATTTTAAGTTTAGATTTTAGACGATGATGATTTTGATATGTATATATAGGTGAAAAATTATTATGTTATGTTAAAACTACTGGGGTCGTCCGTATTCTTGAAACAATAGCGGAATGTACTTAGGTGGAACTGAAATTTTAATATATTAAAAGTGCTCTTTTTCCTCAGAAAGGCGTCGAAGACACGAAATGACGTCAGACACTGCACTTAACTCCCAGCGGTAAGTTAGAATGCAAGTTAAGTAAGTATATGATAAATTAATTATATATATATACTGGATATCCTATAAATAACTTTTCTATAATCTCCCCATAATAACCAAAAATCTTTCGAAACTTTAAAAGTAATTTCGAGTCTTAAAACGTAATATTACACAGTAAACACTACTGAAACTAGTTCTTCAAAAGATATAAAACTTAAACGTACGTGTTCTTGTATATGTGACTGACGAAAGATAAGATTAGAAAAGTTTTTATATTAAAGGAAACTTTAAGTAGGTCGCTGTGACAGCACCGCATGTGATAATACCAGTGTATTAGAGCTGTCGTGCCGCCACATCCCCTAGATATTTGTACTGATTATTAACTGATTAGAGGTCAACTAATGTTGGTTTATTGATTTATATAATATATGAGAAATAATGACATAAAGTATAGTATTAAAAATAATATGAAAATGAAAAGTTAATATTAGTACTAAAAGCTTCTGTTGAAACGTAATAAATCATCTTGATAATGTCAGAAAGCAAAAGAAAAGGAAAATGTGTCACGATATGTCTTCATTATCAACGTATATGTGTGTAGGTTATGTAAAACTGTGTAAGTGTTTGTTCAGGGTGAATCAAGTTGAAATAAAACTTGTCTTCTTTAAGACATCATTCATAGTTAACAACTTCTAGAGGTGGATTATTTTAAAACAGTAACAAAAGTTTAAATAAAATAATTACATTTTGAATCATTTCGGATTTTTTTTATAATGAATCTTTTATTGAGTTATCTAATCTGCATAATACTGAAGAGTCACTCCATAGGCTTCGTGTTTTGTGCCGCTTTTTAATTAATATTATAGATTAGATTGAATGGATTGTCATGGAAATAAATATCTCCAAAATACAAGGAATGTAATTGCGTCATTAATTTACCAGAAAACGTATATACATCAATGAAAGATATTTGTATTCAATCAACACGAGAGAAGCATTTTTTGCAACTGAAATCTGTGTGAAAAAATATTTGTATTTTCAATATATTTAAATTAAAGCTTTTAAAATCTAAAAGAAACTGAGTTTGTTTTATTATTTACTTAGTAATTATTAAAAAAATCAAAACCTATTGAATCGTAATAGCTATATAATTTTTTAATCATGACTATTCTGCCGGCATCCAGAGCGGTACGCCAGTGATAAAATAACAAGACTGACTGACAGACACTTGCATCTGACTACCCGTCATCACGGTTGCTGAGAAGTAGCCGAAACGTCGGGAGTATGTAGTTTATAGTCAAAAATAAAAAAAACGCGTAGTAAATCAGAAAATATTAGTTTTATTTAAATATGACTATTTTTATATATTAAGGAAGAGATGAGCGAGGGAAAGTTTATAGCAGATCTAGATTACGTTGAAAGACATTGCCATAATATGGATATTATATAGCTTAGTATAGTAGAAAATGTTATAGGAATCGCTAGCAGATAACGTCAATGAGATTACTGTAATCATTCAGACATGTGAGTCACTGATTTCACTACATTTTGTAGAATTTTCTCTCCATATTATAACATAGGAAGTATGTATTATCGATGTATTAATTTTGGTTTGTGTTAGTTTGTAGTTGTTTTAATTAGATAAAATTATTAAGACTATTGAAAGTTGTTCAATATTTCTTTAAGAAAAATTATGATTATGAAAATTGAACCTATTATTTACTTTACAGAGTTTTTAAGAAGGCATCACCGAACAATAAACTAACTTTGTATTTAACCTCACGGGATTTGGTGGTGGAGAATGGCAGCATCGATAAAATACAAGGAGTGATTCATGTGGATACTGACAACTTGGAAAACAAAAAGCTATTCGGACAAGTGACGTTAACTTTCAGGTAATTACTTAAACGCTCTTAAAATGTAGGCGGAGAAAAGTTTCAGCGGCTCTCCGAAATTTAAAAATTCACGACTAAATTGTTGAGAAAGTTTTGTATTTATACCATGTTTTGATTTAAGAATACGAATTTGTAATGCTGAACAAAATTACTTCAGATGTGTACATAAGTTTCAAGAAGCTAAAATATATCCTACAGCGAAAGATTTTTGTTAGCAATAAGTAAAAACCATGGGTTTGCGTATCTCTTTGTATTATTATTTTTTTGATAATTTTGCAGCTTCAGTTAGCTAAAACGAAATTTTAAAGGTTAACTCTACCTGTGTCTATTTCTCAGTTGTCTTGTCAGATTTACAAGTTAAATAAATAACAGGTTTAAGTTGAGCTAAAAACGAATGCTACTAAAAAATTACTCAGAACACGTACATATACTAACACTTTATTTATACAGCGTTTATTACACATATTTTGACGTATGTAGGTCGGTGAAAACCTAAAAATATACCTTGGATCAGAACCATTAACTTTGACTAGCTGTGTCGTGTATATGAAAAAGATCTTGACAGCTTAAAATCGCTTGTTCAGTTATTTTAATATTATTGTTATAAATAATATGTGTGAAGTTTTATAATTAAGCTCAATAAATTTTTATATGATCACACACACTTTTCAAACGTCCAGTTAACTGTGTTCCCCGGTTTATACCTATTTAAACATTTTCGTTACTAGTTATCTTATTACTTTTTAATTATTTTAAAAAAAATTAATTCTAAAGTTTTGTGTTAACGAATCTAAAACTTAGTTAAAACATGAAAGTTATTACTTATCAAAATATAACTCACGAAAATGTAATCAGGATCGAAACTCCATGTGACCTAAAGATAAAATGTTAAACTTTATATAAATAACGTTGGGAAACGTGCGGGCTTGTTATAACAGTTTTAATTAATGTTGCAGAATAATAAAGTATTATATACCTGCTTATAAGATTGGAAAATTATTAAATTATAAGTAGTGTTAACTCTTCATAATAACTATTGAAATACATAGTACACACATATACTTCTACATTTTTTTTAATTTAATAGTTGTCTTTTTTAAAGCTGAGATTACTGAATGTATGTATTTTCCTTCAAAAATATTGTAAAGCAAAAAATATTATTATGTGTCTCACATATAATTCGATTTCATCATTAAAATAAGTCAATTAAGAAATAACATTCAATGTATATCAAGAAACATATTGAGAAAATAAATTATTATGAGAACATAACGAAAAATATCGGCAAATAAAGAAAGATTTCATTCACAAAAGTCAAATACAAATGGTTACTGTTTCCATTGTACACAAAAGTTTTGTGATTGGTTCAATTGTATTTTAGCACTCAATAAATAAAGTTTATTGTGCCGTGAACGATATTTGCTAAACTTGGAATGTTCTTTCTTCTGATCGATATTGACTTGCTACTGAGCCATTTTTAAGTCAAATAAAGTAAAATGGCTTTTAGAAGTCGTATTTCTTATGCGTTACTTATTTATCACTATTGGAAGGGCATGACATAATACTATTAAACCGCCATTTGCATTATTTTTGGCCAACCTGATTAAGCAAATGTGTGTGGAATGTAAATTTTGTGATGTCATTCGTAATCCATTTTATGAACGGGCCTTATATTTTTTATTATTTCTCCTGAAAGCGCCGTATTCAACACCATATAAGCTGACTGCTCTATAATGTATTGATTATGTTGTTTTTCTTTAGTTACTATAGTAAACTACCTAATCAATATGTCTTAAGTATCTAAGCACAGTTTTTACGGAATCAAATTTATAAAGACAAATTAATTATTTGTAATATTTCTTTATACAGGGTGACTGGTGAATTACTATCGATATTTGAGGACGTGATATTTGACGATCATATATGACACAATAAAAATTAATATAACATAAATATTAATAAACTTCTAAGTAAAGTTAACCAAAAGTTATGTAATTAATTACGCATCGTATGAACACCCTACAAATTAGGTATACACACACACACACACATACGCGCGCGGGGGCGTGTTGTTGTATCAGCACGCCGCCGCACGCGTTCACACTTGGAACACTTGGAACGTGTACACACTTTATTTATTTATACGGAAATTTGGTCAAAAATTATGTGCCTATTTTTTTTTACATAATTCGAATGAGAATCATGTACCGAGTATGCTCCTTAAATATTGATAGTAATTCACCAGTCACCCTGTATATGCTGGTGTGTTATCTTCTATATCTTCTATATATATAAAAATGGATTGCTGTTCCTTAGTCTCGCTAAAACTCGAGAACAGCTGAACCGATTTGGCTAATTTTAAACTTGAAATACTCCTGGAAGTCCAGGGAAGGCTTAAAAGGTGAGGAAAATTGGAATAATTGCCGGAAAAACCCTAAAAACAGTCCTTTTCTATTTTCCATACAAATGTTTTTTTTGACATTAGATTTGACAACTAACTAATATGTCAATCATTCTGTTTGATTGAAACAGGAAAAACCTGATTATTTATGGCCTTTAAGACGGAATAGAGTTCGCCTGGTCAGCTATACCTACATATATTACTCTTGACCAAACTAACGCAGACGAAGTCACGGGCAAAAACTAGTTTAATATAAATATTACGAGGAAATTATTTGGTATGTAAAAGCAGTACAGTACATAAAAGTATTATTACTTGTTTTTTGTTTTACAGAGCAGGTACCTTGCAGTAATCATATTATGAAATACAATATATTGTATTCAACGCTTCAAATTCATGCAGAATGACGAATTACAAATTTTATTCAATTTTAAATAGGCTTATTTTCAGAGAACAACAATTTTTTATAGTTAGACTACACTATTGTATAGTATTATAGTTAACTTTTTTATTCATATAAAGTGGAACGAAATTAAAAATGATATTGAATACTAATTGAGAGTAACACAAGGCTGCGTTATAAAAGCGTTTTATATTTCACCAGAACGGCGAATGTACCTTTTTGTTTATAATGTTCCAAAATTGAAACTGAAGCATACGTCTTTTAATGAAATGAGAAAAGGTTAATGGAACGTCAGAAATATGAGATCAACTTACCTTAATGGTTAACCGTTATACAAATTTTATGTAAGAGTTTTGATAGCATTTTCAGGTAGAATTACTTTGAGATATTGTAGTTATATTTATCGAATATCGTTATGCTTGATAAAAAAATTCACTGTTTACTTTGTATGAAAACATAACTTAGGATTTCGCGGACATTTCAGTCTAAAAACTTAATTATAATGTTGAATAACATAAATTCTTTCTTTCATACTAGACTACTTTAGTATAACATTTATTTAGTATGAATACAGTATTAGGTTTATATTTGAATTCATCGTATTATTTAATGGAGAGTTAAAGAAATGTTCGTCCTTACTTACCTTACTTCTGTCAACCTTAATTGATAAATGTACCCATTAATTTGTCTAATCCGATATATGAAATGTTTTACTTTATTTTATTAAAAAATATATCCATTTATTATTCTGCTAACGTGACAAGATTATCACAATCAAGAGATATATATACAAAAAAGTACAAGCTGAAAAGTAGTATATGATAAGGAGACATATTTTTTTGCTTTCTGGGTCTTTTCCCTTATTGTCATAATAAGGTTTCCAAAGTAGGTTGTTGTGTCGCCTTTAAGGCCAATTCCTATATTCCGGGTCCACGCGTTTAGAATTTTTATAACTGTCACATCAAATTTATTAAACCACTATCTCAGGATTTACTCCGTATCATTAGTATTAAAACATAACATAAAAAAGATAAATAATATATATACAAATCCGTATTGGTTTTTGAAATATTAAATTGTTAATATTTTATGTGGCTACGTATAAACATTTCGTAAAAAATATGAGAAATAATTTTAAATACAGCGAACAACTGTAACTTGTATATAGAAAAATAATATTGTTTCATAAAATTTGTAACCATTACATAAATTCTGTATTAACAATCTCTGAACAATGAGCGTAACTTTCTCAATTTATTAGTTTCTCGATATTTTGGTATGTCTGTTATTTCTTTATAAAAATATCAGGGTCATTTTCATTATGATTTTTAAGCATGACTTGGCGTGACTTTGATATTTATTATTAATGGACAAACTTTTATTAATTTATAAATAAGCGATGTTGTTATCATAATTTGTTATACAAAAGTAAACGACATTATTTTTGTATTCAGACTAAATTCTTTTGAATCTTCTCTTTTAAAGACGTAAAATCTTTCTGATGAAGAACAAAAATATCAATGTTGAGAATACAAAGTGGAAAAATTGTTTATAAAATTAAATATATTAATATTAGTACCATAATTCAGTGCTCAGTCATGTATACGAATCTAGCATTTATTTGGATTAGTAAAGAAAATGTAGTAGAACAAAAATAGTCTCTCGCATGAGTTATGATTGCATTTATTCGAGCGAGCACGTTGTAACATTTTACTACAAATTGAAATTTACGCGCATAGTGCATTATTACAGTAAACATACATTTATAGTTGAAGTGCTTAAATAAGTTTATGTTAGCTCTTAAATTTATTTATGGATACGTAAAAAAAGATTTGTATTATTTTTTTTTATATATAAATTTTTTGGCGAATCTATTTATTAGTTTTCGATGGATCAAAGAATGAAAGTACAAAGCAAATTTATATTGTAATTGTGTATTATTATTTATTTTATAATATTTTTTTAGGTATGGTCGCGAGGATGAAGAGGTTATGGGACTCAAATTCTGCAATGAAGCTATTATGAGCCTGGCACAAATATGGCCTGTACATTGCAATTTGGATAAGGAACCAAATACACCATTGCAGGTGATCTTAAAACAAACGTCATATTGTATGAAATAATTATTAAAATTTTGGCTTAAATTAAGAACCAAAGTTATCGAGCTTAATATAAACTTAAGTTGAATTCTTATCGTATAAAGCAAGGAAGAAATAAATGCCCGTGATTACCCTTGCTAAAAAGTAGCCGAAACGTTGGGAGTATGTTGTTTTCATCAAAAATAAAGTTACGTAGTTAATCTGAAACATATCAGTTTCATTTAAATAAAAAAGACTCGCGAAATTCTTAGATCTCATCAAGAAATAATAGTATTTAATGATCTAACTACTAAGAGAACACATATTATGTGTATAATATATCTATTATGTTTTCACAGGAAGCTCTAATAAGGAGATTAGGAGCGAACGCTTTTCCTTTCCACCTGGAGTTGACTCCCCTTGCACCGCCCAGTGTACAACTGGTTCCTGCCAAACAGTACCACGGAGCTCCGATAGGGACGTCATATGACGTGCGAGCCTTTATTGGTAATATTAATTATTATATACAGTAAGAAAATGTATTTAATTATTTCTATATTAATACCCAACTATTGTACGTCGCTCAAAATATAACATATTTTCTTTTTCGGTGACCTTTCGATCTTTCTGTAAATTACATTTAAATTGCTTGAGTGATTCTTTCCTGATAAGGTAAAGGCTTGATTTATAGATGACAGACTTAGTTATTTTCGCACTGTTAACGGAATGGATGTAAAATATATCCAAAGAAATTGTTTGATGCGACAGTACAAAGCATTTATTTTATTTATAATGAAACTCTTATTCAAAGTCATGAAAAACAAAGCGTTTCATATGTCATAGCAATCTATTTATAGTGAAAAGCAAGTTTCCTAGCGGTAATAACGAGGAAACAGGAGCGATCCATCTTACAAACGTAGCATAAATATTTTAGTCCCACCTACACTTCTGTAACAATAATACTCCATTCAATAGACAGAAATAAATATTATGTCGTTTCAGTAAACAGTGTAAATACAAATTGAATATGTTTATGGGACTGTGACATTTGCTGTAGTATTTAAATTAAATTTCACATCAGTGATTGTGATTAATATTGTTTCAATCATACCTAATTTGAGTTAAATAAATTCTCGTAATTATAATCGTTGTGACATATAAATCTTTATAATTTCTTATTCAGGTTTTCATGACTTTCCTTGTCCGTAGCTGAACGAGCCGATGAAAAGGTATCACGTCGGAACACTGTACGTATGGGAATCCGAGTCTTGCAAGGTCCAGGGAAGATGTCCATTCCACCAACACTGCCCCCGGATTCTCCACATCATACTTTCGGCAATCTGACACATCACAATGTTTTGAGGTAAGGTATATCAAGGTAAATACTGACATCGATAAAACTTCCTAGTATTCTTGTTATTAATAAGTCGGTCCTAATATTTTAAGACAAAATGAAAATGTGTTGTTGTCCTTGGTAAAAACCGTAAATTTCCATAAATGTAGTTTCAAAATAATAATATACTTGCTACTGATTTAAAAGATACGAGCTAATTTTAATATCTGATATACCTACCATTATATTTTTTATTCTATTATATATAATTTCATATTATTATATCATATGAGGTATTTTCTCTTTTAAAGTGACTTTCATTCAACCACTATGTTGACTTTGGATGAAATGGGTAACTTGTAATCTTATTTATTACATCAAACATGAAGACTCATTCTTCTAAATATAAGCGTAATAAAAGTCTTTTAATCTGCTTCCTATTTGATTACAAATGATTCAACTTATTGAAAGAATTTTACAATATTCTAGACATTTAAAAAATATCTAATTCTAAAAAATATCAAATATTATTAAATATGTATTGCTAAAAATAACAGATCGATAACCATATGTATAGTATTAATAAAACTGTCTGCAAAATTTTCCACTTTATTTATATATGTAAACAAGTTATTTATTTCATTTTATAAATGTTGAAGTTCATCAAAATTTTAAACATTTAATCGGCGGATTTTAATTTATTTTGGATAATATATTTTATCAATATAAATATGTGACAGTATTTAATTAAAACTTATAATGTCTTATATATTTGCACATATATATGTTGGTTGTAATTATGTTTAATTAAATTAAAAATAATCCTTATTGAAGGTATGTATGTCATTATGTACATGATGTATTGTAAAGATTTAATTAATAGTCTCGTTTCTTACTTTTTATAATATAACCTATAGTCTTAGAATTTAGAGATTTAGGCGCGTCAACAGTCTAAATTGAATACATGATTTTAAAATAACCAAAAATTTATGTAGGTATGTTTATATGTATTTTTATGTAATTTAACAACTTAAGATTTATTTATTCCCTTAATTTGTATTAAATCTGCTCTGATCTAACAATTTATATAACTTATGTGTATGACTGATATAAGGCATTTTTTAAATATTATTTCCATAAAAAATTAAACGTTCAATTATAATAAAGGGGTTATTAATTTGCCTTAATATTTACGTTTTTTGCATTGAAATATGTGTTCGGTAATTGTTAAGTCTCTCAATTTTCATTATCTATTTGTCTAACAGTCACATAACACATAAAAAAATATTCCGAAGAAATAAAAGCCTATTCAATAACTACAACGAAGCATATTTTTTGTATCCGAAGAATAATTCCTTTTAATAAAAAACTAATAATTTTAGTAGCTTTTCTTTTCTTATCTATTAAAAGCATTTCAAATATCTCAAATAGTAGTTGTGATTTAAGGATGATTCAATGTCTTTGAAAAGCGCACTATCGTGCTTTTATGGCACTAGCACTGCACATATAGTTTCGGAAAGTAAACCTTGTCTACTTTTAATATAAAAATCAATGAATGAAATTAAAAAAACATGCGCGGATCATCGAAAATAATATTTCTTTTTTTATATTTGAAAGTAATAAACCTGCAGTTATCTTCAGGCTTGTATTTTTTTTTGTTTTATCATTCAGATAAAACAAAAAAAAAGGTTAAAATAAATTCTATATATGGTTCTCTTATTTAAATCGTGTATGTATCGAATAAATAACATTTCGTTGTTGAAAAAGTACATTAATGTAAAATTAAATTTGTTATCATTCGGCAATGCCTCGTGTCAGTCTTATTTTTGATTAATTATTGTAAAATTCCAAGTATTTAAGTGAATGCACTTGAATGATAATGATCATATCTAAGATCCGAGTAAATATTTTGTAAAGAAGGATTGATTGCTAGGATAATAGAATTATTTTGTACCATTTCTTAGAAGTCAACCCACATAATTATTATAGCGTATATATCAATTAGTGAAGATTATTTAACAAACTGTTTTGAACGGTGAAAATTGAACTATAACTGAATCGCTATTTTGTGTGTTAACATTGAAAATATCAGTAATTTTATCGATATTTCCACGCCAAAATGAAATAAATTAATTTCTTGATTGTATTTTAAAATACTTTTTTCAACAAATGGTTTGCATCAAAAAGTTAAATTTATATTTGACAAAGTAATTTATATTAAAATTGATGAACAAGCTTTTTGATGTCGCTTTTTCATTTTATATTAAACAATGAATAAACGAATTGACGTATAACAAAATACTATAAACACATTTCATTCACCAAAAGCATTTTCATTTATTTAAATAAAAAAATATTTATTTCATTTTTAATAATTTTACTATAAAATTCATTCAGATTATTGACCATGTTAAATATTTTCTATATTTACTCAGTAACAGTCACTTTCACTTATTAATTAAGTACAGACCGCCCCTTATATAATTTAATTCTTAATTATATCTAAGATTTTCGCATGTACTCATTGAAATAAAACTAAGTTTTTCAAATATAATATACATTTTTTATTATTCTTTGAAAGTGATTTCATCTCGTCTGCTTGTGATCACGATTAATGTACAGGAACCAAAACGTCGGTATTTATTTTACTCCGAATTAGCAATTTGAGTACCTTATTTTTATTTTGATATTTTAGTTGACTTCTTAAAGAAATCTTAAATAATTCTTCATTGTAACCTTGTCCAATTTATATCTGTTAAATGTTAAAGAAAAATATTGCTTACATTATAAAAATCTGTCTTGTTACTTGTTCTGTATTTTATAAACAGAATATGATATAAATAATGTTATAAACTTAAACAACCATTAATATATGTAAGTAATTGCAACAACATTCAAATAATTGATGTTTTAAATTACTGCGAAACTCTTGAAATATTGCGAAGTGACTCATATTTTTACGTCAAAAATAACAACGCAGAAAAATCTCGTCACACTCTCATGTTCGCTTACTAGATTATTTAAAAACAAAACAATGTCATATATTAATAATCTGTTATTGTAATATGATATTGAAATCGCCGATGTTTCTGCACAAATTGAATGTCACTTTTTTGACAATCTTCTTTCATTACAGACTAAAAAACAAAACTAAATTAGAAGCTGATGAGAACAGTAGGAGAAAACGAGATCAAATTGGTAAGTTACTCTATGTACAATTATTGCTAAATACATATATAACAATAAAGTAAGACATTGAATATATAATTTGTTTTAAGGCACTCAATCATTTTTATTGACATTTTATCAATAACAATTATTATAATTTCTTTCGTGAAAATTTGATAATGTTACTTCTATTTTATTTCTTTATAAACTTTAAATTTATTATATTATTTCTTAATAACATTAACATCTGATCTAAATATTATAAAGAAAAGAAGTAGACAAAAAAGAGTAATTCTTGACATTATAAATTTTCCTTACAAATATATACGGAAATTTTATAAAAAATCTCTTTACGTGTTTCTCAGAGATTATTTATTTACTCAGTCATACAATACGCTATTGAGTATTTTATTTGCAACCAAAATGTGTAATAAAATAAGAGAAAAATGTAAATTTTTGGCTAAAATAATTATTGAATTATAATATGGTAAAATGTTTATGTAATATAGGTTTAATTTCATTTTCCTCAGGCTATTAGTAAGCAAAAATAATTTATTAAATCATAATTTTCAATTCTTTATCCGTTTATTACCCCATGTATAAATAAGGTAAAACTGTTCATTGGAAATTGGATAATATTGTTCCTTAAATTCTATCACCCGGTCGCCTCACCTCAAGAAATGTTTTTGAGGGTCTTGTATTTAACATTTTATGAGAGGTTCTGAGACACGAAATAAAAGATCTAGTTTATTTAACAAGAATGTCTGATGTGTAATACTAGCTTTATATTAATCTTAAAAGACAAGATATATTTTCATATCAATATATTTATTATTTAAGCTTCACAAAATGTAAGTTTCAAATGATATCCAAAATTTTTGCTTTTAATTTAAAATAATTCAATTAGCTTTAATTGAAAATTCTCAGAAGAAAAGGCTTAAGATTCTCAAAATCATTGTGCCAAATCACAACTAAATGTCACAAGCAAAATATAGAAGTACATATAATATTCTTTTTAAATCTATGAAGTTAAATAAATTCTTAATCCCAGATTAAAATTGTATGAAAATAAGAAAAAATGATATGCAGTATTATACATTTTAAACATAATTTCATTGTTAACAGAAACAGTAGAGCCAACTCCACCTCGAACTACTGTGGAGAAACCATTTCTTTTATCAGACGGCAGGTGAGTCTTTCAACATATTTTTTACATATGACAAGATCTGATCGACCTTGTCCTGTTATGTCATTTCCACTAGAGACTCAAGTTCGGGATTTATTAAGGCTTTGAAATCCACGATGGATGTCTACCACAAAGTTCATGATTAACAATAAAATAACATAAGATTGATGTAGATGTGATGCGATGTTTCTAATCAGCTCAAAGAAAATTGACAATTATTTCAAATGCCTAAACTAGAGGATATTTTAAATACTTTAATGAATTTTGTTGTACAAATTTTATTAAATCGTTAATGTCGTTTTATATTAGTCTGTTAAAAACTAAACAAAACATCGAACAATGCTTGAAAATAAAATACAACTAAAGGTGGTGTTATTAACGAGTGGTGACAAATAGTGTCGCAGTTAGTGATGACATGCTAAAAGGAAAAGTCATAAATTAAATACCGTGTAATAAATGAAAATAATACACGTTTAGTTTCATAATAAAAGTTAGAACAAAACATAATAAGTGTAATATATATTAACGAGTTTAAAAATTTAATGAATGAAAATGCTCACAATCATCCTTATAGTGTAAGAAAACATAATGAAGATATGTTGTTTAATTCATCAACAGTGAATCAAGTAATGAAATCTAGTTTCAATCTAATTCTTGAATGAATATATAATACATGTCCATTAATTCCTTTGAACAGCCAAAGGCTGTGTCAGTTTGTGCATTTGTTGAATAAACTCCTTTAACCTCAGGTTGTCAATGTTTAGTTTGCTCAGTGGCCTAGATACACGAGCCTTGGAAGCACTTTATTTGAAAAGGTACAGCGGCTGTGTGACTATACAACTTTAACTTGGAGTTTGTCTTTAACGGACTTAGAGCAAACATATTGTTTGTGTAGAGATTTAATATGTTTTATACGAAACGAATGTTTAATATGAGTTTAAAAATATGTATAAAATTATAGCAATTAATATTTAAACAATAAATAGTATTATCCAATTCTAATTTCAATATATCGAGAATCAATATTTACAATTTTAATGCCTTGCTTTGTGTCGGGATTGTGGTTCATTTGTTCTCCTATTCATTATTTGTATCAAAAATCGGCATAAAATAGTAAATAAAAGAGATATTTTGTAAATATATATTTAAACTCTTAAATAGGACTAGGTCAAAATATATTCTAATATTAGAATATATTTTGACCTAGTCCTATTAAAGAGTTTTATAGAAATGTATAAATCTATGAGTAATAAAAGCTAATACGGTATAAAATCTTGTGTATGTGAATTCGGAAACCGATATTGTAGCATATACTATGTATAAAACCAAATTCAAAGTATTTAATTAGGTATCTAATAAGTAAATATTTTACAAACATGCTATAAAATAAAAGTGTTTCTTTCTTACAAATTGTTGACATTTACTATACGCCGATTGCCAGTACTGTCTCATTGATAGTTCTATATTTGGATAATATTTTATTTGACCTTTAAACCATGGATAGATCTTCAATCTCCAATTAAGGTTAACCTTTAGTCTTGACGTTTTGAAAATGTCAAAATTAAATGGCAATTTAAAAAACCGGTCTAAAAATTTATCCAGTAGATCTTGTTATAATTTTAAGGATCGAAAGCGAATACCCAAACATACAGACATTATAGGTATTTGATATATATTTAACTTGTTTAGAGTGGAACTTGAAGCGTGGCTGGATAAGGCGACATACTCACATGGCGAGTCGATACGTGTCAATATTCTTGTCACCAATCATTCATCTAAGACCGTCCGGAGAATAAAGGTTTGTTATAACATAAAAATTATTATGAAGTTATCCATAAAATCTGTGACAATACAATGGCATAAAAGAGATTCTGGAAGATTAGTAAATTATATTTCTCGACGATCTTTCACTAATAAATATTGAAATAAATCATAAATATCGTAAATTCTTATTATTGCCCTAATTTAATTGTATAAAGTTTGATGTTTAAAATATAGCTATTCATCAATATATTTTCCTTGTAGGCGCTAGTCGTTCAACATGTCGACGTGTGTATGTTTTCGAACGGCAAGTTCAAGAACGTTGTAGCATTGGTTAAGGGAACCGGCACTCCAGTACTTCCTGGACAGACGCTCACTGATGCTTTTACACTTACACCGCATAAAGGTGAGTCTGTTTTTATAGTCTTATACTTAGTGACCAAGGCTTACTACATTCTAAGAATACATGTCTTATCCAAGGCAGATTTTTAAACCTCTTATTCATTTATGCCATGACCCCATCGGGCTTAAGTATGGTTCTGTTTCGTCACCATTTTTTTAAATTATGACAAAAAAAAGCATAAAAAAGTTACAAAATAGATAATATACATAATTACGTAATAATAAATTGAAAATAATATTTAAAAAAGAAATATCATGACTCTCTTTTTTTAAATAAAATATAGGCATTTATACATAAAATATTTTCATACTAAATATTGCTGCAGCGTTATCTTGGGGCAAAATTTTATGAACACGGTGTCATATTTCGTACCTTATTAGTGAAACTGTCCTGCCATGTTACATTATTAACATCTCGAACTTCTTGGTACTCATTTTAGATAAAAATAGACGTCTGGCTTGACTATTATTAGATTCAACAAAGTGCTTATGTTAAGATATTAAATATTTGTGAGTTAGTAGTGATTACGTTAATTGAAATAGTTAAAAAGTTTAGTTTAAACGTAATAACTCAATATTGCAGGAGCTACTAAGAATTGGATAGCGCTAGAGGATTCATACTCAAAATCAGGTGCAAGTCTCGCTTCAACAGTATTGTGTAACTCCGACTCACCCGAAGATCGAAATGTATTTGCAATTTACGTTTCGTATTACGTAAAAGTTAAACTCACGCTAAGCGCTATGGGGGGTGAAGTTTCTGCCAAACTGCCATTTACATTAACCCACTCGTGCATTAACGAAGCACCAACTGACAGTGTTATAGAAGAAGCCACACATAAAATGATTTTAGAAGGTAAAGAAAACAGCGAAGATGAGGATAGCAAAGCTGAAGCAGAAAATGATAAACAGAACAATAATGGAAATAAAGTAGATGGAACCAGGAACGAAGCAGAGGACACTCTCAAACAAGAGAACAGATGTGTTGCAGACGTTCTCGTGAATATTGAGAATAAAGTAAGCGATAGGCCGAAGAAGTTTGAGGGACAGACGGAGGTAAGAAATATTAAGCCCAACGAAGAGGAATTGGATCTGATTGTAAAATATCCCGGTTCTGATACGTGATCCGACGAGGATGTTGGTGACACTGGCCCGAGGAAGACGGAACAGTCTGAAGTGTCGCATGCTAAAACATGTAAGGCGCAAATTCACATAGAGAAAACTGGGTTTGCTGAAAATCTTAAGAGAGCCGTTTGTTGTATAGATAGAAGAAGACATTCGTAATTATAAAATCAATAGGACATTATTTAAATAAGTTATAAATATATTTCACAATTTATAAACACTTTACCTAATGAATTTTGTAGAAATTGAAGACTCCTGTTTTGTCTATGACCAATTTTGGAAATTGTCACATATGGCAGTATATTTTCAACTTGTATAAAGCTAAGTTTGATATTGCCAATTTAGGAAAATATATCGTCAATTTGTAAACTTAACCACTTTTCCATACATGTCTACACTAAACTTATGAAACTGACTAAGATGTAAAGTAACGAATTCCTATACTAGTCGTTAGTTTTAAGATTATTTTTAAGGGTCACTTATTTACCGTGTATATCGGTACAAACCTGAAAATTCATTACGCTTACTAAATTGTAGTTGCTCGTTCGATAAATAGCATTTTTACTATTATAATATTTAGCTTAATTATAGTCGACACGATTTTAGGCCAAATCATCTTAATTTTTATATCTATATATGTAACGTCGCAATGATTTTAGTAAAATAACATAATATATTAAGAGAAAGATTAATCAATTGTATCCTTTTTAAAAATACATATAAGTCCTATTTATCCATTACTAGTGAGATTTTTTAATTACTGTGTCACTGTTGTAATGATTAAATTATAAGTGTGAAAAACAAAAAGTAATTTAATCAAAAACAATATGAAATTGGGTAAGAATGATAAAAAATCATGTATTAAAACATCTAGTGCGTTGAACAGTGTTTTAAGTTAAAAACGAAAAAAATATCATAGATATACTTTTTCGACACACGATACTTGTTGCCACGATATATCAATGTAAAGTTTGTAAATAAAGTTCTAGATTGTGATGTTTATATCATTTTCCCTTTGATTTTTATAAAACGAAATAACAAATATATTTCATTGCCAATAAAGGTTTGAGAAATAAAAAGTAATAAAATTGCCGTTGGAGTTCTATTTGGATATCCAAAGATATAAATTGTGGTTTTAATAACTTTCAGTGTTTTTTTATTGTGTATTCTAGATCACTGTCTGTATTTATGATTAATTATCAAATTTCATATAAAAGCTTTTATTTCATTTAGCTGTTTTCAAATTGGAGTAATACTCAAAATGTTTCAATAACGCCGAGCAAATGCCGTAATAAATAACTAAGGATTAATTGAAACAAAGAAATTATATCTGTATGAAAAAATTCACACACTCGTATACGAGTATATTATTATAATAAATGAACATGAAAATTTAATATTTGCCTACGAACAGATACATTTAATCGTCTAGTTATGAAAACGTATTTTATGAACTTTATTATAAATTTACGATTGAACCAGATGTCTCATTAAATTATACCACATCGCAGCATCCGCTGTTTAAACTGACATAATGTTTAATTTAACATAAACGTTTAACAAAACAAAACAAAAATAGATTTACATAAAACCTATTTAATGGTTAAAATATTTTCACTTACTACATATTACTATCCACTGGTTTTGAATCAATTCTAATGTAACTACACTATACAGTTCTTGAATATATCTTCTTGAATGTCAATTGAGTATTCCAGGATAATTTCGTTGAGAGTACCTACGGTTAAAGATTTGACCTAAATATATACACAAACACGTTTGGTATAATAAACAAGACGATACTAATTACAACTCTTGTTACAAATAACAATTTCGTTACATCGAAAATTGCTATAAAATGCTCAGTTCTTGTAGCTTTATCGTAATTCTTTTTTCTATACAATATAATCTTTTAAGCAGTATAAATATTATGTTCGACCGTCTATACATAACCATCCATGTATTACTATATACAATGATATTCAATACATACATGTTTGTTTTTTTATAGTATTCAAGCGGCGGATAAAGGGCTGAAAACTTTATTGGTATAACGAAATAAAAAATAACTAAAAACGTTTAAGACTGTTTCTTATAACTTGTACCAGCCTCAAATGGGTTCTTCGAAGTAGGATAATGTGTATTATGTATGCTCAGATGAACGCGGGGAAGTCTTGGTTTTGTAATTTTAAGGACCTGATAGTGTTCACGTATTATAATAGTTATTATTATTTTATTAACACGAAACTCATAGTAAAGCCACGAGAAGTTAATTTAGATTTAAATGACGTCATTCTCATAAGTTTTTTGTGTGTTTGTTTTTCTTACGTTTTAAGATTGGGTTAAACGTAACAACTTACGGATAGCGTCTCTGTTTGAATGATTCAGCTGACGAAACCAAAAGTAAATATATTATTGTGCCTGACTATTTTCTTATCCTATGCCGAAGGTATAACTTATAAAAATGTATTATTTTCATGCATAAAATAAACGATTAGATGGAATATAATATTTATATATAAATCAGAATCAACTAATATAAGACTATAAACTCTTGTTTAAAAATGCATTGTTTTCTCCATCAAAAATCTCAGCAGATATAGTCAAAAAACTTAAAGATATTACTGATATAAATAATGTTAAATAGTAACACTTAAATACAAACAATTTTGTTGATTATATATACAAACGATATATATCTTTTTACTGTTCATAAAAATAGAAATGTAACATTTATTTCGACGTAAAAGTTTATTGTTTAAAACCTAATAAATCACATGTGGCGTTGTTTTACGATTGTCGGTTCATTATGAATATTCAAATGTATGTATTGTTAATTAACGTTATTGGACACTAAAGAATTCATTTCCAAAATAAAAAATATTAAATTTATTCTATTAAAGGACTATTATTATATTAACAATGAGCATTTTTAATAAGATTTGATTGTGAATCATGTTAAGACGTTATTATTATACCCATAGATACTGAGACAAGGGGAAAAGTAAAAAGAGGTTTAACATGCATTCAAATAATTAAGTTCAACATATCTTTAATTATGTTATATGCTTTATTCTTTTTTGATTTATTATATATCTCTCTAAATGTAAATTTGAGCGATATTCTAATAATAAATCTCTTTTGAGTCATATCAATAGCTTGCTTTTTGAAGATTCTTTTTCTTCCTTTCCATTCTTTCTTCTAGTAGCTTATAGGAATTAGAAGAGAAACACTTTCCGAGTATATTTTCTAAGTACATAAATAATATTTGATTTATGAGTTGCTGTCGGTGATTTCGATTACGGACTCGGAGGTTTTGGTTAAGCCAAACAATATCCTTATAACTTGTTACTTTTAAAGCTTTATATTAGCTGATACTTGAATTTTAGATATACTATATAAAGTATATAATTCAAATAATAACATGTAAAATAACTTTTGAACTTATTATTTTATTAATTTAATTAAATTAAATAAAATATTTACAAGATAACATATATCCGAAAATCCGAAAATTAAATTAAAATATGATTGAAGAATAAAATCCCTTTGTATTTATAAAGATGAAATAAAACGAGTTTGATTTATATCTCAAGAAATTTTAATTTGTAGCTGTTTTGAGAGTTTTTCTCTGACTAATTACAACAGAAACTTTTAGAGAATGCCAAGGTACTGAATAAAAAACCCTACAGATAAATATATACTATATCGTAAAAACTTAAACAATAAATATATATAATGGTGAAAGAAGGAATGTTTGAATCATAAAAACCATTTTCACTATGTTACTTTTCATAATACAAAATGAAATTATATAAAGGTTATATATTTATTTACTTATAAAAAAATCCCTTTGACGACAATCTCTCTCACTTAAACGTTGAATTAGTAAGTTGAAATTGAATAACTACAAATATTATATTTATACTTTATTTTAAAATATCATAAATCGGCATAAGGATAACTCAAAAGTCAACCTCATATGCAACTCAAGTTGTTCATAGTATTTATAAAAAACATTAAGAAACATTTGCTAAGAGTAGCATTAAATTAACAGTATGTCGTACTATTTCAAAACTCTTCCTTGTAGTGTTATCAATAATACAATTAATCATCATATTTAACCACTATAGTTATTGTATAACTAACAAGAACAAATAATAATTAGTAAGCGAGCAATAAGTCATCGGAAAAAGTTCATGTTATTACTAAGCGTAATATTCATAGAGTATCAGGGATTAACAATATTTAAGTCAAATAACAGATTTCCATGTAAAAATAAAACTAGTAAATCAACATTTATATTTCGCACAGCATATATTTTTGTATAACCTTAACTAAATAGTTGTTGCAGATTTTTAATAATAATGTACAATGTCTTATATTGTTAGCACAAATTAATTGCACTTATTTCGAAACAAACTGTTTTATTTGCAAAAATAGGAATCAATATTTGTTTTTAAATTGTAGGAGGACATGTATGTAAAATATTATATAATCGTTATTCAATATTCCTACCTCTTCTTGTTTTTCCTGTTATACTGTATACAACATATTTAGACTTCTACTATAGATTAAATATAGACTAAAAAAAAATATTTTTTAAAATGTTTGATTTTGTATTATAAGTCTGTATATTAAAAAAGTGTGTAATTTCATATGATAATCTATCTTAAATAATTAATCATAATTTTACTTATCTGATTTATGTATCGATAGTTATCTACGAGTATAAAAAATATTTTTTTCAAATGAATTAGATAAGATTTTTTTGATTAGATATAAAGCTACATATTTCAAGATTACACTTTTCATTGATAACAGTAAGAAACTTATTTGGTTCTTTTCTATTTATTTACATTATTTCAAATTATTTTTATATTAAGTATAAAAATTGTAAAATTAAGAATATATTCATAGATCATCATGGTAATAATTAATCGACAGGAAAAAGGTAGACTTTATGCATTTGTTTTAAGCGTTTACTAAACTCACTTAAC